TTTTTTTTTTCTTTTCTGACATCGGGAGCCGCGGCCTGACCGTCAGTCAGAAAAGAAAAAAAAAGGCATACGATTGCATAGCTAGATTACTATTGGCTATTGCACTTTGCAATAGCCAATAGAAAACTAGCTAATGCACCCACCCACTTCTGCTGTCAATCAGCAGAGGGGGACCTGAATTTTTCTATCAGGTCCTCTTCTGGTGATTGAAAGCAGCAGGGGGCAGGTGCAATAGCTAGTTTGCTATAGGCTATTGCAAAGTGAAATAGCCAATAGGAATCTAGCTATGCATTCTTATGCCTTTTTTTTTTTTTAGTCTGAAAACTGCAAAACAAAAAAAAAGTCTGCAGATAGCAAAGAAGCTATTGCTTCCTGTGCTATCTGCCATCATTTCAGGGGGGTGCTCTCCCCCTAACCCCCCCTCCGCGGATGCGGGGGAAGAGGGCACCTCCCTGAAATGAGAGGGACACCTCCCTGAAATTGCTTATTTCAGGTTGGGATCCCAGGCATTGGCCTATACACATACAGCACAGCAATGAAGTAATAAAATAAACTAGGATCACACTAATCCAGCACGTTATTATTCTGAGTTGCCCCACTCAAGCGGCGGCCATATTGAGTGGGGCATGTGAGATTAATAACGTGCTGGATTAGTGTGATCCTAGTTAATTGTATTACTTTATTGCTGTGCTGTATGTGTATAGGCCAATGTAGTTGGATGTGTATGTGCGTTATAATTAATCGAAATTAATCGATTTTAAAAAAAATTGATTAATCGAACAGGAAATTTTTAATCATTACCAGCCCTAATATTTTATACTATCATCATTAAAAACAAAAACTCACAAAGAAAATCTGATTTGTTTTTCACCCTAATTTGTTTTTTAATTTAACCCCCTCTTAACAGCGATGTTCAAAGTATGTCGCTGTCACAAAGTGTGACACTCAGGGACAGTGTCATTGTATGCCAGGTGACCACTATTAGCTTTTAGAGAAAAATGTAAATATTAGCTTTCAGTTTTAGGCTGAAAAGTACAGAAACATTTCTGAAATCCTAGGGATGTGAGATGTTTCCAAATAAAGGACAGATACATTAATTTATTTTAATGCATTTCTTTTAGCTGTGCTATTTAAAAAAAAAATTATAATACTAATCAAAACTGTGTTTTCTTTAAATGTATTTCCTCATTTTTACTTTTATATTTTCTTCATCCTAAGTGATGTATTAGGCACACATGTGATATAAATACATAGCCCTATCTGTCCTCTTAGTGCTTGTTCACACCATTTTCTGGTGCAGATCTGCAGACGCGGTGCTATGCGTGCAACGCGTTTTTGAGGCATTTTTACCGCGTCCCAGTTCCTTTTTTTTGTGGAGTGGAGAAAATGTGACCTGCAGTCATTTCTGTCCGGAACGGAATGGACTGCGCTGGTGAGAACTGGAGCACATAAAACACATTGGGATGCATTTTTAGTGTAGGAGCGAACTGTTCTGGTCCGGACAGAATCCGGACATCGTGTGAACAAGCCCTAAAAAACAATATATAATGTGTAGGTGCACTTAGTAAGAAATTATATTACTGCCATGGAAGAATCACACAGAAAAAATGTGAAAAGTGGGTCAGTCATTAATGAACAGAAACTAAAAACAAGCTTGGTCATAAAGGGGTTAAAAAGTGAAAAGGTAAATGGCATATTTTTTCTAACTTGCTATGTGAATGGAAACCTATTACAAATGTGATGTGGGTATTTATATAATGTGGGTGGCAATTAATCTCTAGTGATTTTAGTAGCATGACTGAGCTAACTAGAATTGCCCATGTAGCTTTAGCATTAACGTATTCTTCATACTACTCCCGTAAATATGCATAAAAAAATTTAAATGTTGTGTATGTCTGCCAAAAAAAAGTATAATGTTGTCATTGTTCAAAATCACTTAGGAATTTTTATTACAGGCCTATAAAAGACTGTCATTCTCAGTATTTAATTTGTTATTCTTTGTATTTTCTGTGTATTTTTTTGTAGGTGGAGGACTTGATTGTAAAATACAGGAAAAAGAAAAAAACTGTTGCTGGAATTGTTGTAGAGCCAATCCAGTCAGAAGGAGGAGACAACCATGCATCCGATGACTTCTTCAGGAAACTGAGAGATATTGCTCGAAAGGTTGTAAAGCTTTTTTATTATTATTATTATTATTAGAGGTGCACTGAACTGAAAATTTTAAACCGAAAATAAAAAAAATGTCAGGCCGAAACCGAAAATATTAATTTTTCTAACTTTTTAAATTTTTTTAGAAAAAGAACTATGGGGTAAATGTTTTTCTCCATAGTTCTCTTTAGGGCCACGGGAGGACATAAACTATCCTCCTCCCGTGACCCAAAGCTCAGTATATAGCAGGCTTTTGCCAGCGATATACTGAGAGCGCCACAACCGGGACGTATGCCGACAATTCTGTTGTGATCCACCCAGCTGTGTGAGTGATAGCTGGCTGTGCCTATCTATAGACAGAGGCAGCTGTCTCTAGAAGTGAACGGGTCGGCTGCATGTTTCTGCTCACTTCCCGATCGATGGAGTCGACCTGTGACAGCTTCTATTTATTTATTTTTACTTTATTGTCATGGGCTTCAGTAAAATATCAGGGGTCTAAACAGACCCCTGATATTTCTCTTTTGAAAATAGAAAAAGGGATTGAGGACACAGAGTCCACAATCTCTTTTTCTGCAGCCCCTTTTATAGATGAACAGGAAGCCTCCGTACTGAGTGTTCCTGTTCATTCATAACCTGTGGAGATAGTATGTTTACCGTGGACACAATCATGAATGAGCAGGAAGTGATGTAGATCACTTCCTATTCATTTGTAACTGGTAGATAGTAACTCCTACTATGTCCAGTTATTTACAAACAGTCAGCGGTCACTAATCGCTGACTGCTTTTACCAGCTCCCCATTCTGACTTGCTGTCACTGGTGGGTGAGCCAACGCTGTGGGAGGAGAGCTCGGTCTATTTTAACAGCTAACTCCTCCCTCTCAACGCCGTCTCGTGCTCCTGTGACAGCACATGGCTGTCTCCACCCCCACACCGCTCTCTGTCCTGATCAGTCACAGTGATGTGAGCGGCCGTTGTGTCACAGGAGGCCGGGCTCTCCTCCCGCAATGCCCCCCTCAGCCTCCTGTGAAACACCGGCCGCTCACATCACTCTCCTCCCCCGCACCGCTCGGCCTCCTCTGACAGGTTCTCTCCTTCGTGCTGGAAGCTGCGCTGTGTCAGAGGGGACACAGAGCAGTGCACAGCGGTGAGGAGAGAAACCAGACATGTACCGCAATTTCAGCAGAAAGATGGCACTTTCGGCCAAAATTTCGGTGCATCCCTAATTTTCTATTATTATTATTAACATTTGAAATAACAAAGTATCGTGTTTATGTAAACTCATTTAGTTGAATTACATAGTATTTGAGGTTGAATAAAGACATTAGTCCATCAAGTCCAACCTGTTAGGATCTCATTCTAGGAGTACCTGTACCCCTGTATATTGCGGTCCCTTAAGAAATCGTCCAAAAGTTTCTTGAACAATTCCACATTATTTGCTGAAATCACCGCCTGTGGCAGAGAGTTCCAGACCCTAACTGATCTTACTGTGAAGAACCCCCTTCACTGGAATTTTTTCCCCACCAATTTTAGGTGGTGGCTTCTAGTTTTTGTAATGGAGTTAATTTTAAACAGTTTATCGCTAATGTTGCTACCACCATTGAACATTTTGTACATGGAGATCATATCCCCCCTTAATCTCCTCACCTCCAATGTGAACATGTTTAAATTTAGTAGCCTTGTCTCGTAGCTCTGGTCCTCCATACCCCTAATTAGTTTGGTTGCCCTCCGCTGGACTTTTTCCAACTCAAGGACATCTTTTCTTAGTACTGGTGACCAGAACTGGACCGCGTACTCCAGATGAGGTCGAACCAATGATCTATAAAGTGGCAAAATTATAGACTTGTCCCTGCAATACATCCCCTTTTTAATACAGGACAAGACCCTGCTAGCTTTGTTTACAGCAGCCTGGCACTGCAAACTACCTTTCAGTTTGTGGTCTACAATGACCCCCAAATCCTTCTCCATTTCTGACTTCCCCAGCGGCATACCCATAATTGTATAACCCATTTGTTTATTTTTAATTCCAAAGTGCATTACTTTGCATTTATCGACATTAAACCTCATCTGCCACATTAATGCCCACTCCCCTATTTTATCCAGGTCCTCCTGTAATGTTATAATGTCTAAGTCCGTGTCTATTACCCTCCCAATTTTGGTGTCATCCGCAAACACGGAAATATCGCTGTTAACACCCTCCCCGATGTCATTAATAAATAAGTTGAACAATATGGGACCCAGCACAGAACCCTGAGGCACACCGCTCATTACACTAGCCCAGTCTGAAAAGGTGCCATTTACAGATACCCTCTGGACACGTTCCCGTAGCCAGTTCTCTATCCACGTACACACCACCTCATCTATGCCCATAGATAGAATTAACATACATGGCTAACTATGTAAGGCTTCTGTGAGTTTATTATGGAGGTTGAACTAACCAGTCTGAAGAGATCCAAATCTGACATGGATGGATTGGACTGTTTTATTTATATCCAATATCAATACCAATGCATGGAACATGGTCTGCCTGTTTTTTGTTTGTCGCTTAGTTTATATTTACTAGGAGATCTTCCCATTCAGAACTGTAATTTCAGTGTTTAGTGGATGCAGTAATGGAATGCTGGAAATGCTAAACAACTGCTTCTTATATACATGAGGGAATCCAGTAATTAGATATTTATGATTGAGTTCCTAGTCTCTACTTCTACTGCCTCATTATGAAGGGGTCCCAATTTTTTCCCTTGGACTCTAAGTTTATTGGGATTGCAAAGGTAGAAAATGGTACCCCAGAAGTGAAAATGCAAGAACAGAACCAGAAACTAAGGCAGAGCCCTGCTGGAGTCTGAGTGATCTACGAATCCTGTGGGTGACTTATACTACCAGACTGCACATACTGCTACTGAAAAGTAGCCAAAGGCGTGCTTTAAAGTGGAACTTTATTTTAAAACAATAATTGCTGGGAGATGCTTTTGCTTTTTATTCAAATTGCATTTATTAAAGTAAATGTACGGTGTAGGGCTGCAACCAACTAATCGATTCATTGATTATGAGCATATTTGTCAACTATTCTCATTATCAATTAGTTGGTTGAATCCCCGAGGTCTCTCCTCCACGCTGGGAGAAGGACACCGCAAGCAGTAGGCGGCTGCATTAGCCTGCTTGCTATTGGCTATTGCCATTTGAAATGGCCAATAGCAGACTGGCTATTGCACCAGCCCTTTGCGGCTGAACTTAAATACAGCAGGTCGTCTGCAGAATCTTGCGACTGGAAGCTGGCATTCCCTGGCTATAGCTATTTAAGTGCCATGTGCTTACAATACAATTCTGAAAAATTATTATAAAGGAGAAAAAAAATGTTGGTTTCGGCCTGACAAATTCTGCTGCGGGAGGTGCGTTGCAGTGCCATTCATTTCAATGGCACCCCAAACGCGCCTCCCACCCACAGTGTGATTGGTACCGTGCCTTCCAGTGCACTGCGATTGCAAGAAATTGCAAATGCAGTTTTATTCTGAAGTAAACTTTGTTTGTAACACTGCATTTCTGTATTTTATTTTAAGTTAAAGGAGAACTATGGGGTCAGTGTTTTTCCCCATAGTTCTCCTTAGGGTAACGGGAGGACACAAACTAGCATCCTCCCGTTACCCTAAGCTCAGTATACCGCGAGCTGTAGCTCGCGGTATACCGAGACGCCGCAGCCGGAGCGGATCACGTCTTAGATGATGGGATCCGCCCAGCTGCGTGAGTGACAGCTGGCTCTGCCTATCTAGAGGCAGAGCCAGCTGTACCCGCCCCCTCCCTCATCCGTTCCGCCAGTCAGCGCTGGCAGATCAGAGCGGGGAGAGGGGAATCCAGCCCCTCCCCCTGTCACGGCAGAGAGCCGTGACAGGATCGAGAGGTGAGCGAACCTGGTATGTGTTCGCTCACCTCCCGATCTACTGAGCCGACCTGTGACAGTCTCATTGTCACAGGTCGGCTAGAACTATGAGGTGAGTGGAAATCACTCATCTCATAGTTCTCCTCCTTTAAAGATATCCAATTAATCGATTGATGGAAAAAATAATCGACCAACTAATCGATTATGAAAATAATCATTAGTTGCAGCCCTAGTTAGGTGTACAACAGAAGAAAGTAAAGGATAGTAACAGTTGCATAATCATCTAATGAAGACAAGAACCAAAGCGTTCCAAAATGTAAACATGGTAAACTGAGAGCAAAAGCAAAGTGGCAACCATTGCATCAAATACACCTCTCATCTATTTGTAGAAGAATGGAACAACATTACTGATATAGAACAGAAAAGAGAACAAGAATAGGAAGAGGGAGAAAAAGAAAAGAAACACAGGGAGGTACAAAATGTTGCAAGAAATTAAGAAAAAGAAAATGAAGAGGAGTTGAAGAGAAAGAGAAAACCTGGATGGTACACCTGCCAGCAGAATATGATAAAGATACAACACCATGTAAAGAAAACATTAAAAAATAGAAAAAGCAATCAAACGAAAGGGTCACTCTGCGGTGGGTCTCAGCCATTGATTCCTTATACATTATCCAGGCTGACCACATCTGAATAAATTTAGAGACGGACCCATTATCCTCTGCAACTAGCTCCACCCTGGCTATAGCTATTTAAGTGCCATGTGCTTACAATACAATTCTGAAAAATTATTATAAAGGAGAAAAAAAATGTTGGTTTCGGCCTGACAAATTCTGCTGCGGGAGGTGCGTTGCAGTGCCATTCATTTCAATGGCACCCCAAACGCGCCTCCCACCCACAGTGTGATTGGTACCGTGCCTTCCAGTGCACTGCGATTGCAAGAAATTGCAAATGCAGTTTTATTCTGAAGTAAACTTTGTTTGTAACACTGCATTTCTGTATTTTATTTTAAGTTAAAGGAGAACTATGGGGTCAGTGTTTTTCCCCATAGTTCTCCTTAGGGTAACGGGAGGACACAAACTAGCATCCTCCCGTTACCCTAAGCTCAGTATACCGCGAGCTGTAGCTCGCGGTATACCGAGACGCC